CCCTCGCCCGCCCGCCCCCCGCCGTTCCGTCTGTCTGTGTTCGCGACCGGCCCGTGGAGGACTGCCACCAGTCGACTCGCACCACCCCGACCATGAACAAGTACTCTGCGCTTCTCCTGCTGGCTCTGCAGCTGACGCTGGCCGTCGCGTCCCCTATCAGGTGGGTAGGTGGCCAAAGAGAGGGATACCCGAGGCCGGGGAGCCGGTGGACAACACGGCCCGAGGTAGGAGGTTCCGGCGCAACAGCGATCACCGGTGTCCGAGTCCGGAGAGATTTGCTGGCCCCGGCCGTGTCCTTGGCTTGGGTGGCAGTGATCTCGGTCCCGGGGGCGAGGCGCACTACAGTAACACGGGGGAGTGACTTCCCTGTGGCGGTGGTGACCACTGCCTGATCTCCGGGTCAGGACATTCGCCAAAATCTCGTCAAAAACATCAGCATGATTTCACTAGACTTACTCGTGATTATTTGAGTTAATGCGAGTTGATGCGACCGCAAATAAATCTGTATTATTGATTGCAATTATTGATTGCATGCGGGGTTTACCTCATACTTCCGAGTAAAACAAAAATTCACTTAACGTGTTCAGTGCACTATAAAAAATGAGTGGAACTGTGCATCCTGGGAGTTAGAAAAACGGCAGAGCGTGACCACATTGTGCTCTAGCCACACTCAGGGAAACATTTTTGATGGTAGGACAAACAACTCCACCCCGATCCAGACCTGTCTCAGGAGTATGTAGTTGTGGGTGCAATTCATTCAATGTGATGAGAAATTATTTTAGGAGTTTAAAGAAACGAGTTTAGCAAGCTAATATCGGTATTTCTACAAAGTCGTAGTAAGTCCGTACCATTTTACAATCCTCTCCCTCCACCCATTCATCCGAATGAAAATGAGAAAGGGACTGAGAGGGCGAGAGACGGAGAGAGAGGGAGAGAGAGAGAGAGAGCGAGCGAGAGGGGAGGGGCCGGGTAGGAGATGCAGCATGCGGCTCATTCTCGGAGAAGGTGGAGCTCGCAAAGAGGTGTATGAAGCGGGCCGTTACAAGTCCGGCTTACACGGTTAAAATATTGAACTAATTTTGATGAAAACGATGATATTCCGGCTTTCTTTCACAAGAATGTCATCCCGGGGATTTTTGTCACTTCCTCATGCTGCTAAATACGGGTGGCTAACAAATACGTGATGGAATGCTTCCAAAAATGATTGTAGTCATTATTCACTCATGGTTTTGCTGTGTACAGTCCGCTCCGTTACACGTATCCCTGCAAGTCAGTGCAGAGCGAGTGCACGGACAGCCGAATATAGCGCGCCGGCTGGGGTCCCAAGCCGAGAGGGGGACGGGGGGAAGGGCCTGTTGGAATTATCGGGCGGTCAGGCTGCTGCCCGCCCATCTCCGTGCGCACCGCCGCCGCACCGGGACGCAACGGCCAGAGTGGTCGTTACTGACTCTGGACCGGCCTCCGGGCGGCCAATGCGGCTGTTGGTTCAGCAGATCGAGCAGTGCGGCTGTGCGCTCTTTGTGTGCGTCAGGTACCCCCCGCGCGCCCTTATCACAGCACAACATTGTCGCTCTCCGGAAGTCCTTATCTCTATAACTCCTCCGCTCCCGGGGTTCCCCAATTAGTTTCAGTGGTGTCTTTATGTACGGGCTGTGCGTGGTGCCGCCGAACGTTGCCCGACCGCCGACCTCGCTGGCAATGAACTGATTCCGATTTACAAAAAGAAAGGCAGTCCGCCGAGGGAAAGGCCGTTCTGATTGACCTATGATGGCGTGGTGATGGTGTGATTGACATCATATGGCGCTCATCGACATTGACATCTCTCTGAGGCTGGCAGCAGCAAGCAAACGGGGGACGAAAACACGAGCTGACCAACTGACTGACTGAATTGGTGTCTAAAATACACCACTGCACGTACGTACGCGCTGAGTGAACCTGCTGCGTTCCGTCGACAGGTACGACCAGCGGCAGGATGGCGACTCCAACATCGACGCCCGTCTGCAGAACTTCTTCGTGGTGCTGGCGCCCTCCAACTCTGCGCAGCTGAGCAACACCGGCATCAGCCTGCTGGACCTGGCCTCCAAGGCGGTGCCGCAGCGACTTCGTCCCCAGGGCCTGCACGGCGCCGTGCCCGGCGACGGGCTCAAGCAGCGCGAGGAGGTGGACGCGGAGCCCGTCCAGGCTGAGGTGAGAGAATCCGTCCTGGGCCGCTAAAAATGAGATCTTTTCAGCAAATGGGCCGGATAAAAAGAATTGTAACAACGTTATTTCTACCCCAAGGTGGCGAAGGAGGGCAAGTCCGCGCGCTCCCTGCAGGCCGGCCCGCTCGCCGTCGTTGCCATCCCCATCCCGGCCGCCATCCTGCAGTCGCCGCTCGCCAAGCTGCACCCCGAGGTGCAGGCCATGGGCGAGGCCATCGGCGAGGACGAGGTGCTCATCGCCCACTCGCCCGTCGTGGCGCTGCGCTCACCGCCCGCGCCCGCCCCAGCGGCCGCCGCCGTGCCCATGCTCGTGGCCGTGCCCGTGCCCGAGGTGGCCCCCGAGCGGCCCGCCGCGCCCCCCGCGCTGCTGCCCATGCACCCCGCAGGCGCCACCACCCCGCTCGGCGACAAACAGGCTCTCCCCGCCGCCCCTGAGGCCGCCGCCGCCCCCGAGACCGTCGCCGTTCCGGAGGTCGTCGCCGCTCAAGAGGCCGTGGCCGCCCAGGAGACCGTTGCCGTCCAGGAGGCCATCGCCCTCCAGGAGGCCGTCGCCGCCCAGGAGCCCATCGTCGCCCCGGGCGTCATCGCCGTCCCCGATGCCATCTTCGCGGCGGCTGACGCCGTGCCCGCCCCCGCCCCCGTGATCGTGGCCCCCGCCGAGGCTGCCCCGGCCGTGGAGACGAACCAGGTGGAGCAGAAGGAGGACGACGAGGTGGGCAAGATCGACTCCAAGGTGCACCTCATCGGCACCGGCATCGAGGAGTGCGGGCCGGAGCGCGTGCGCAACGAGGAGGGCGTGTGCGAGGACGCCGTGCCGCGAGACTGATGACTGGGCTACAATACGGCAAACAAAATGGTACCGTCAAAACTGACCCGAAATGGTCTCATGTTCGGGCCTTTTCTACACATTTGTGTGGTATTTCCTGTATAATGTAAACCGATTTTTCCGCTATACAGGGCTGGCTGGCTGCTGCTGGAAACAGCCATCGCACCCGACATACGCAAACACGAGCGCTGTGAATACCCTTGCGATACCGCAAGCAGTCAACTACGACGGAAATTCTCTCTAATTTATTGTTTTGTACTATTTATTTATTTGTTATTTATTATTATAAATATCATCACAACGATGTTGGAATAAATCCCACAATCCGCTACCTATCGGTGCAGTACAAGCACCCTGCTGATGCTTCATCTACTTGCCTCCCCAGATTCTCCTCCAGCCCTTCTTCTTCATAACCCCCGGGGCAATCGGGTCAGCAAACAGTTGGATAACAAAGAAGCTTGCTGTTTGTCCTCCGAGGTGTCCTCCCTCCCGCCCTACCTTCGCCACTTGTCCAAAACATTATGTAAACTACAAGCTGCCGGCTGCCAGTGGAAGGGGAAAAGAGAGGGAGGGGGGTGGGGGTAGAAACCCGAATTACGCACTCACTCCAGTCCAGAACCATAAAAGAAATGGCCGACACGCGAAATTCCCATAATTTGTTGTGCGAATCGTTCTGGGGGGTTCGATCTGACCTAATCCGGGATTCGTACCTCCGCACCTCCTTCTCCTCCTCCCCTCTGGCACTCCCCCATCGTGCACCTCCCCCACTGCTCAGGTCTCCCCCCTCCCCCTCACTTTCGCTTTCGTTGGCCTCTTGGTCGCCACTGGGCGCGGTGGAAAGACAGTCGGTGCCCAGCAGCCGCTCCCGCACTCCTCAGCACGCCCCAGTGTCCTCCGGGATCGCACAGCAAGGTGAAGTAGTGCATCAGTATTGACCGCCGGCAGACGGAGGGAGGTCTAGAGGTCTTGTGGCGAGCCGCGAGCGAGACGGAGGGCTGAGACCCTGCTGCACTTAATCGTGTCCCGTTCTTATTGAGTCAGGCAAATAGGAGACATTTTTTGAAAAATGTTGTCGTTTTATTCCTTTTAAATTTTTTAACATCAACGCTCTAAGAAACTAAGTAAATAAGCTGAGTGATTCAAAGACAGAGACACATCAACATTTTTCAAATACCGTGATTTTATTAAATGAAATATTAAACATGAAACGTTATCAGTAATTTTTGATGTGACAAAAACAGCACAACAATACAACGGTATGCCGCCGTAAAGTTTCAAAATCTCCCCGTAAATAAGGACACTATGATTGTCAATAATTAACTTCTTTTTATGGCTTCGTAACATATCCGACAACATTGGTGGATGCTTTCCTTTTTTAAGAGAAGTGTCATGAGTCCAATATTAGGCATGATTTCTCAGAAGATTGACATGGGAAAATACTCGGCAAAAAATATCAATATCTACTGGCCTCCTAGTCCCCGGTTCTAGAAGGTGGCGGACCTGATTTGAGTGCCGGCAGGCCGGACCGGGCCAGGCCGCGCAGTACATCACATAATGCTCTGACCGGTCGGGTCCCTGTCTGGGAGAAAGTCGACGAGTCGCGGTCCGCAGATCCGGAAGCAAGCCCGCGAGCGAGTGTGTTCTGCTCGTGTGCGCGGGAGCGCGGGTAGGAGGCACCTGAACACGATGCGATAGGCAAGCCTACCTATTCAGACGCCTGCAGACGGTCTGATAGGCAATCCCGCATCACTCTCGTGCTCGACAGGTGCACCTAACCTACCGCTTACCCGTCAGGCGCCTGCAGACGGTCTGATAGGCAAGCCCGCATCACTCTCGTGCTCGACAGGTGCGTCTACCCATCAGGCGCCCGCAGACTGCTTGATAGGCAAGCCCGCATCACTCTGGTGCTCGACAGGTGCGCCTACCGCCTACCCGTTAGGCGCCTGCGGACGGTGTGATAGGCAAGTCCGCATCACTCTCGTGCTCGACAGGTGCGTCTACCCACCAGGCGCCTGCAGGCTGCCTGATAGGCAAGCCCGCATCACTCTCGTGCTCGACAGGTTCGCCTACCCTTCAAGCGCCTGAGGACGGTCTGATAGGCAAGCCCGCATCACTCCCGTGCTCGACAGGCCTGTCCTCTTGTTAGACGCCTGCGTTGCCCATGACACACACAACACGCAAGCCGCCGTGGTCACGCGGCGTGGGTGTAGACAATTGCAAAGTCATTCTGAAATGTATACACTAAAAGGTTTTTGAGGAAAACACAAATTGACGTTTGTTTTCGTCACATTTGAATTCAGGATGGCGGAGAGCCCCATGCCCACCGTCCTCTTCATCTCGGTGTTCGTCTTCCTCTTCTTCAAGTTCTGCCTGGGCGGGCCGCAGCTGGCCACCCTGGGCATGCTGGGCCCTCTGGCCGCGCACCTCGGTCACGACGCCCACCTGGAGGACGGGGCCAAGGCCGAGGCCGCCAACATGGCCGAGGCCCTGCCGCTGCCCTTGGTCAGGGACTTGGTCAGGAAGTGCCCCGTCGGGACGGTGTACAGCGTGGCCGTGGGAGGCTGCAAGGACCTGGTGCGCTCCACCAAAAGGTACGCTATTTTGCTTCTCTTTCTAGAATTGTATTATTCGAACTCAATTAAATTTGTCACACACAAAGAAAGAGATACATTGCTGTTTATCTGTCAGCCAAATCTTCTCTTACTTAAGATCCTTTTCTTTGCAGCTCATCGCAGAGATTGGAGCTACTGATGCCGTACCTGCTCGCCGCCACTCAGCAGGGCCATGCGTCACAGTAGAGGCTCATCAGCGGCGCCCCCGGCCCCGGCCCGCAGCTCACCATAGCGGCTCACCGGCCGATGGCGCCACTGCTGGGCGTGAGAGAGAAGACTTGTCTGGAGCTGGGACGCGCTCCTTGTTGTTTGTTCCTGTAAGAACTTCTTTGTAAATAAATTTGTTGTTAAGTTTGTCTCCTGGAACTCTCGTTGTGCACGTTTGATTATATCATTATTATTTATTATTGGCGCCGTGTCGCGTACCCGACCAGACTGACGACTGCCGCACGCACGCGGTCCGGTGGTGGTCCGGTGGTGGCCCGGGGCGCCTCCGGTCGCCTCCACAACACGCGGAGTCGTTTTCGCACCGGGACACTTCGCAATGTGCCACATCCCATTCCCTGCTTGCGTTTACGAGTCCAGCCCGAAGCCGATAAACAGCGAAAGCTGACTACTCACTGCCCGAGGCGCGACGGGACGGGGTGGCCACCCGGGGCAGCGGGCCGGGGGACCAGGGCGACAGGTTCGAACCCATCCAGCGGTGGTGGTGGAGGAGGTTGTCCCCCCGCTCCCCACCCCTCCGCACAAATCATGCAGGAAATGGACATTTGAGTGGCCTGCTGGAGCTGGAGCGGGCTGCTGGAGAGGCTGGAGTGCGGTTTAACGGGAGTCGCCGGCCCGCCCGGCCATTCGCTACCACGCCGCCATCAGGTCGAGCCTTCCTCGCGACGGCCACAAAATGGTGGAGGACCGACACGTCCACGGTAAATAGGTCCACAGCAGTTTGGACGTAAATGAAGCGCTTTGCGGAAATACGTCCAATGATTTGGACGTAAATGGGCGTTTGCGATTATTACGTCCACAGTGTGGATGTACTTTCGGTCCGTGTGAGGCTGGTGAAAATACCTCTACAAAATCTGGCGCTACTTGTCGCCGCTGTGATTCACATCCTCCCTCAGGAGTGACCAAACCAACCAAAGAATAAACGCATACCCGTATGCCTGTTTTCCATCTACACTGATAAACTAAGTGATCAACTCTTCAATACTTGAAAGTGCGCAACAGAGTTGTTGTGCTTGTGCTATTGCAAGTGTTAAAGAGTTGGACAATTTTTGTTTATCGGTGAATGAAAATCACAATTTTCTCGACCGCGACTGTGTAGAGCGGGACATGAGAGGCAATTACCCTGCGGTAACTGTATGAAAATGCTGTAAATTTTTCAAGGGTGGGGACGTCCTACTCTTAGTGCGTATTCCTAGAGTTTTCAGAGTATTACATGCGTCACTTGCACTACTTGAGTGTGTAGGACTTTTGTCCCACTCTTGCAAGTGTCGTACTGTTGGATTTTCAGAGTGAGGGCAAAACGTGATCCGTTTGGGTGTAAATAAGAGGAGACAAGTGACAAAATAATTTGTGGAGCTATTTTCACCAGCCTCACAAGTACATCCACACTGTGGACGTAACAAACACATGTGTTAAACTACGTCCAAATCATTGGATGTAAATTTGTGGATGTGTTTTCACAACGCGCAAATTCTGTGGACGGATTTACTGAGGACGTGTCGGTCCCGCCCCCACAAAATATCCCCCCTCCCTACGCTCAAGTGGCCGCGTAGCTCGAGCGTAGCTCCCCTGCCCCAGCCTTTCCCATTTCTCCTCGCTACCTACCCGACGACCTCTGCCGATATTTTTCAAAATTATGCTGCGCTTCGTGCGAGGACCCTTTCTTCCTCGAAACGCGAGCCTCCCGGTCATCTCTCGTTTGTTTAGACGACGAGAGGAGGGAGACGGAAGGAATCAGAGCCTGTCGCACTACCCATCTCAAGTTTTAGCATATTGTTTTTTGTCTTCTTTACAGTGGTTCGTCTTTGTTGAGTAGAAATTGGTATTGAACTCGTACTCAACTTTTTCTTTTCCATTGGAAATCTAGAGGAAACTATCATGAACTGTTTCAAGGCGTTAGTGGATGAGGTGTGCCGTAAACAGATGACGTCCAGGAGCTGCGGCCGCGTCAAGGGAGGGCGGGTGAAGGATTAATCTCTGAAAGGACTCTGTGCAGCGCAACACCGACACCGACTCTCAGACTCACACCGTCATTTGTTTCACGCCAAATCACGTGACAGGTTTCAAATAGCGCGTCCCGGCTCATCACGTTGTATCATTATCCCAGGCGTGTCGGGAGGGGGTCAGTGCTCTCCTGTGTGGGGCCGAGTGTGTTTTGCGTCTCTCTCTCTCTCTCTCTCTCTCTCTCTCTCTCTCTCTCTCTCTCTCTCTCTCTCTCTCTCTCTCTCTCTCTCTCTCTCTTATATTCTCCTGCTTGAAGAGTACAGTGGCTACTGCGGAAGAAAAGGGGCAAGAAAGGGTCATGGGCGAGGGGTTGGAGGAGACTGATTCACCTTCGCCATGAGGGGTGAGCCACCCGTGCCTTCTGTAGTGTGTATGAATATATGTCAAATGTGGATGCATCACACTTTCGATCTACATTTTTACCAAAAGAGGTACAAATTCGAGAAATATATCGGAAACTTGTTTTGGTCTCGGCGCATACTCACTGCGCTTGAGGGTTTCCCAGCGCCGAAAGATAGAGAATAAGAGGAACGAACGGTCGTTGCAGTGCCGGCCAGGAAGATGTCACACACAGAGAATCATGTGCCAAAAGCAAAAGCAAGCATGCACTGCGAAACAAGTCCGCGCAGGGCGGCTAAGGCACAAGGTTGCACAAGTCATGCGGACGTAAACATACAAGCCCCTCTCGTACATTTTCTCCTAGAAGCATCGTTATTCAGAAAAAAATACCTCTCAGACGTGTAGGGTTTGTGGCCAGAGTAGAGTGTGACAGTAATAGGGAATTTTCTTGCTGGGCAGGTGACTGCATTTTCGCTCTGCCATCCATGTGTGTATATTTCTAGTTGACACAGACGTGTTGCTTTTAGCTTCTGATTTCACGGGCAGTTTTTACGATAAGAGTCCCGTAAGATACAAAAAAAGAACCAACCAAAACAAGAAACTGTATTTTTTAAAAAAGATGATACGCACAGGGTGCTGTCCTGAAAGGGGCCAGACACGTCGCATAAATGCCTGGTATCAGTCCCGAGAGTTCACCAACGTGTCACCATGGGGCGAAATAAGGACATGTTCGTGGAACAGGAAGCGTTTATTGCATACTTTACAGAACACAGCCAGATGGGGAGGGTGCCCGTCACCCTTCCTCGCATGCAATAAATAATAATAATTAAAATAAATAATAACGTCGTCTGAGGACAATCATGGCCGATAAAATAACGTCAAAAGTAAATTACAATTATTAATAAATAGGAGACGAGCGGTACGTGATGGCACACTCGCGGGATCACAGGGAGTCATCAGCGCTGCTAGCTCTGGTGCACTTGCTGGCGGCGGAGCAGAGGCAGGAGCAGGCTGGCGAGGTGCAGCTGCGAGCGCCTGCAACACGAAACCATTCGCTTTAATGAGTATCTTGGTGCAGGGGCGGACTGAAAAGTCCTCTCGGCGTGTTTGCTTTATTACGCGTGGAATGTAAATTTTCTGCCAACCAACTTCTCATTTTGTGTAAATCACTGGACAGAGGCAGACACTTGTTCTACTCAAACGCTGAAAATGTTCCTGTTATTTTTCCAGTATTGTTTTTTTAACCCCATGAACCTCAAACACAGACTCAAACACGCACGCGCACATACACACACACACACACACACACACACACACACACACACACCTGTACTCTCCCCCTTTCAATAATTAAGATATAGTATAGTCGGACCTCTATGGTCACTCCCCGACCGCCCCGTCCCGCACGCTGGAAGAAAGACCATCGAAGCGAAAGGGGTACAAAAACAGTACAATAAAAAGAGACAGTGCGAGGAGGCAGGCCGAGCCGGTCCGAGCCGAGCCGAGGCGTCGCCTTCCAAAGCAAAGAGAGGAGCAGAGACGATGTAGCCATTAGGCTACCTCGAGAAGAAAATAAGGGGCGAGTGAGGGGGGAGGGGCAATACCACGGTGAGCCCTGATGAACAAACGCCACTGGAATGCGCCCGCGAGAGAGAGAAAAAAAGTACGCACTCTCATAAGTAATAGCTTATCATCTTACAAGCCGAAGTCGTCCGGGTGAATGTATGCTAGGTGTGTAAATTTAAAGATACGTAGAGGGTGGGAATTACATTTTGAAAAATCATCAAGAGATAAAAACAGAATTGCTACGTACTGTTCGGAATGGCCATCTCAAACAAGTCTCACTCCCCCGGCGGGTGAGGGCCGAGGGTCAAATTCGTTATACCATAACAACGGTATGCATGTGGCGTTTCCAAATGGTCCGCCTCGGCCGCCTCCGCTGCACCACCTGTCGCCTCTGCGTGCCTCACCGATTGCCTACCTGCGCAAGCTGCGAGGAGCCTAAGGGTGTTGTTGGTGTCCGGCCCTTGGCTTTGCCGTGGCTGCCCTCGGGTCCGGCTCACACTACCAATCTGGGAACACACACACACACAAGGTACGTGACAGGTCAGTGGAATGAACCCGGGTACCTCAGGCACGATGACAGGGTGGGCGATGGTGATGTGCGACGACGCGGGTTAGTTTTGTGAGCTCGATGAACCAAGCAGCCGACAGCCTACCCCATTTACTTTAGGCCCCCAGTTTACTTACTCCCCTTATGGGTCTAGGAAAGGCGAAAGGTTGTAGAAGAAATAAGATGGGAAACAAAAGAGTCGTGAAAAAAGGCCAGAAAAGATAAAAAGCGAACCC